CCCTTTACTGTCTCTATGGTTTTACAGTCAGTCACACAAACCCACTATGATCCAGGGCCTGGTTTTGAGGCAAGTCATTTTCTTTAAGTTCTGATTCAGGATAAAGGTAATTTCCCCTGATTCGGGATAAAGGTAATTTTCCCCTGGGGCCCAGCTTTATCTCAACAAGCAGCCTTAGAGAAGGTCACTGCCACATGGCAGAGAGGGAAGCATGCACATCTATTCTTTTTTAACTTTGACTGTGAAAGGTCATATGCTTCTTATGCTAACATTTCATGGAGTAGGACTCATCATATGACCTTGTCTAACACCAGGAAGTTGGGAGATACTGGGTATACAGAGATATTGGGGAGTAATGAAATATTCTGCTAATGCCAGATTTCAAAATCTGTACCTTCAAAAGAATTAACTTGTTGATCTAATGTTTGTATGAAAGAACTAGGTTCCTGGCTGGCTATGGTGAGTGCTGTCTCCATAGTCCCCATACCATTTGCTTTATAGGGAAGTCTGTGGGGACACCAGACCTTGAGCAGAGACCCACTTTCCCATCAGCCTGGGAGTAGGCAGCTGTAAGACAATGTTTACTAAAAACATGTTTACTAAAAATAAATACAATGCCCGGGGCAATAAGTTCCTGAAAAGGGCTTGCCCACTGGAATCACCCTGACCTCGACCTTTTCCAAAGACTAACCGCCTCTTCAGACCCACCCACCTCCACCTCTGGTGTCAGGGTATATAATAACCAGCCAGAATAGGAATAAAAAAGAAGACGGGCGTTGGTGGCACACGCCTTTAATCCCAGCACTGGGGAGGCAGAGGCAGGCGGATCTCTGTGAGTTCTAGGCTAGCCTGGTCTACAGAGTGAGTTCCAGGACAGCCTCCAAAGTCACAGAGAAACCTTGTCTCAAAAAACCAAGAAAAAAAAAAAGGAATAAAAAAGAGCCTTCTTGAGGAGCCTTTGGGTCTCTGTGTTGTCAATCCCCGACACCCTCCGCGCATTCTCGGATACAGGCTGCGCAGTGGGCATGGCAGAAGTCAGATATGCAAACATGAATGACAGTCACTTAAAGATGGCTGATGCAGTGGCAGCCCATGGCTGCAAGTCTTAGACCTGTGGTAAGGATGTTTCTTGGGGAGGAAGTGCAATCTTATCTGAAATTGGAAGGTTAGACATGAGCGTATTCAGAGTTGCCAGGTCACTCCCATGAAGGCTTCAGGAATCGGAGACCATCTCCTTCTTTTCCTTGGGCCTGAAAGGTTGCTTTGAGATAAAACAGATTGGGGGTGTTCACAAATTGGTAAATATGACACATGCTCAAAGGGCTTGCTGTTTAATACAGTAGAAATGTAGGTACCATCTCCCCCTTATTAGAAAGAACATCTTCATAAACATAGAAGGACGGGAAGAACAATGGTTGGACAGCCACACTTACTCTCAGCCCACATTTTAGACCAGGAAGCAACAGTCTTCAATAAGTCACAATGCAATTCTAGATGACATCTTAGTGGACAAGTCATTAACTTTATCTAACTTATGTGTCTGATGAGTAGTAAGTAATATACAGCTGTCAATAGTTCATTTTTAGTAGTAGGTTTGCAGTCTAATTAGCTGTTAAACTGGTTGAAAGTGACACACAGGGATACTCTAGCAAAATATACAAGACCAGAAGTGAAAACTGGTCTGTTTGTCCACTGCTAGCCAAGGCCAGGTGAGCATTTCCTTGAGATCCGGTGGATCATGTCTTTGAGGTCCAGAAATCAGCCTCCTGTCTGCTAAACTCAGGCACACCCCTGCCAATTCACAGCTAAGACAAGCATCCTCTTCCCTGTGCCCACGTGAGATTCCCAGGGAGGAAGCAGAGATGCAGTGGGGGGGGCAAATTTGAAGCAATGGCTGATGGAGACGTGTTAGGCCGGCCAGAAATCGGTTATGTCCATTCATCGCTCAACTCATCTCATTTTGTCTCTATTGTTATGTGGGGACTAAAACATTCATTTAGAGAAGAAATCGTCAAACTTTAGTGCTTTGAGATAATTTATGCTTTTCATCAGCTCACCAAATTGAGAGAACAACTCGACAGAGGTCTGCCATCAGGCAATCTCAGCCGAGAATTCTTTTATAACATTCACACAAGGAGCCTCCTTGGAGATACTGGTAAACAGCCCAGTGATCCAGAGATGTCTGAGAAAGCGTACTTGCAGAACCAGACAGTGAACAAAGGGCTTTTGCGGCCAGGAAACGCACTCACAGGGGACTTGTCGTCCAGGACTCTGCCTCTGATTGGAAATGCAATCACTTGGCTCTGTTTAGCTGAGTCCAGTAAGGGGCCATTGGCAGCAACACTCCACTAACTAGAAATCTCTTCTGCAATCAAATTAGGCGCAGGCACAGCATCCTCATGACACTTGCCTGCTATCACAGACATTTCATCGCAGAAATGCTTTTTAAACATTAATTATGCTGCATATGATGTGACCCAGATAAAATATGGGCGTATTATGACTTGTCTGTGGCTTTGGCGTGTGATGTTTAATCCTTGGCAAGGAATTAACGGAAGAAAGTGGGCTGGACCTTTTGTTTGGGGTTTTCATCTGTGGACATTTTGTGTCGTTACTCCAAAGATAGCTGTGAAAGGGTTTGGGTTCATGGGCTGGGGGCGTGGCTCTGGGTAAATTGCTTGCTGTGCAAGCTTGAGGACCTGAGTTTGAATCCCCAGAAATCATAGGAAATCTGGGTGCAGCAGCCCACATCTGTAATCCTAACGCTGGGGGAAAGGTGTAGAGCAGGAGATCTTCCAGAGCTTGCTGAATAAATAGCCAGTCTAGCTGAGGTGGTGAGCCCCAGGTTCAGAGAGAAACCCTGTCTCAAACAATAAGGTGAAGAGCAATTGAGGAAGACACTGATATTGAACTCTAGTGCACTCTCTAGCCTGTATACAAGATGTATATAAGATTGTGTGTGTGTATGTGTGTGTGTGTGTGTGTGTGTGTGTGTGTGTGTGTGTGGTGTGTCCACCAAGTTATGCTTCTGACTGCTCCCTTAGCTAACCTAGACCCCACTTTTCCCAGGAGGACCGTAAAGGCACCCAAGTTCCTTGGAAGGCTCTGGAACTGATTTGAGGGCCCATCTTTTAATGATCATCTGCTTTGGCCAGGCAAAGTTGTCCTTTGCCAGGGTAGATGATGTGTGTCCTGATGTGGCAGGTGTGGGGCACTTGTTCTTGAGTGTCTTTCAACTACAACGACTTAATCTTGCCCTGTTAAGTAACAAAGCTATGTTTCACTGCTATCTCTCCAGTATTTTTGTTGTTGTTTTCTTGGTTTTGTTTTATCTTATATGAAAGCTTAAAGGCATACAAAGAAAGTAATGGAACCACCTTAGGTGAAGGAAGGGTATTCAGAGCCCTGTACCCCTACCAGTCACTGGTCCACTAATTCCACAGGTCCAGAGTAAAGGCCATTGTCCTACATGATACCCCATTCTGAGGGATCATGTCTAATGGTGGTTATGTGTTGTGGAATATAATGCTATGTTCTAGGGGACAGCCTGTGGCCCAGACTGAGAGCTGTCTCTGTCTCCTGGGAACTTCCCTTCTCTCTAGGAAAGTGGAGACAAAACACTTGAGAAAGTGCATTGTAGATTAGATGGTGTAAGCATGTGAGCTACAGAAAACAGGACTGGCAGATGGGAGGCCTGGAAGAGACAATGCATGGAATTCCACAGGTGATGGGAGAAGGTCTTGTTGCAAACATGGTGTCTATGTAAAAGTATTCAGTTGAATATGTAACTGGGGGAGAGTAGTTCCCAGTTGTGGAAGGACCAAGTAGGAGCCCAAAGTGATAGCCACCCTTGGGTGAGAACATCCTGTAGGGGCAAAAGGCCAGAAACCCAGGGAACAAGAGTGGTGGGGAGGATAGTGAGTCACAAGACAGGTCTGAAGGACCTTGTGGGCCCCTCTGCCCTGATTGAGATGTGAAACCATGAAGGATAGGGATCAGAAAAAGATAGAACATTACTTATGTCTTTATAGGAACCTTTGAATCCCTGTGTAGTTGACAACAGGCTAATGGTGCACAGGAAGGAATCCAGGGAAACACAGGTTTGCCTGGAGGAGGGTACTGAGGGAAAGCCTTGTATGTAGTGTTCTTTCATTCCAGTATCTTAGTGCCTGTCTTGTGGATCACTTTAACTAGAAACTGTGAAGTTGAGAAGAAAAACTAACACACATGAGTGTGTACAAGCTCATGAGTCTGTGTGTGTGTACACTGGTTTGGAGTATGTAGATGCATGCCTGTTAATATGTGTCAGCGAACAGGTATGGATGTGAGAATGTGTGAGGATAGGAAAATATGAAGATGTATGTATGTGACTGTTTAAAGGTATGCATGTGACATTGCCCCTGTGTGTGGTATATAGGTGTGATTGTGTGTTAGAGAAAGAGAGAGAGAGAGGGAGAGAGAGAGAGAGATGAATGGATGGATATTTATAGGGAAGATAAGGATGCAGACTTGATTCGTGGATGATCTGAATGAGATTCCACAGTGAAATGCCTGATCATATGAAGGCCAATGGAGGGAATGGGAGGCAGCCACCAACAATCCTGACACAACTCAGTGAGTGGCTTAGAGCCATGTCCCAGCTGCTGGTCTCAGTTTCAGCCCTTCTGGACCCAAGAGCATCTTTGTCAGTCAGTTACCTGCCTTCTCCAGGAGAATCCCTTCTCTCCAGGTCTCCCTGCACATTTTCTTTCTGTGTCTCACTACCTTGAACCAGTGGGGCATTCCTGTCACCTTTAGGGCATGAGGTATATGAGTGTCACTTGTGTATTGGTGCAATTCAAGAGCCCAGCCAATGCACAAGATGTGGGAGGAGCTTAATGTTTACAGAATTAATGGGGCTCTCTTCACTTTTCATAAAAAGTCTATCCACATGGAAACCAGGGTCCAGAACCTCACTGTGCCTGTCACCTAGGTTTTTCTTTAGTGTGTGTGTGTGTGTGTGTGTGTGTGTGTGTGTGTGTGTGTCAGAGGTTGATATCAGTCTCATGTCTTTCTCACTTGCTTTTCACCTTATTTTTCAAGATAGGGTCTCTCATTGAACATGGAGTTCACTGACACAGCTATATTGGCTAGTGGATGCCAGGGGTCTGCCAGTCTCTGCCTGCCCAGAACTGTGATTGCAGGCATACGCCACTGTCCCTAGATTTTTATGTGAGTTCTTGGAATTTGAACTCATGTCCTTGTGCTTGTATGGTATATACTTAACTAACACCCACTTTCCCAGCTTTCTTTAGAGCTTCCTGAGAGATCAGTCTTGGAGGCTCTGCCCAGATTCATTAGCCTGGCCAGTAGGACTTGATAGTAGATTTACTTGGTGGCAAAAGATTGCTTCGTGGTATAGTAATTGTTGTCTTTAAACAGCATCTTAGGATCTGAGAAGGAATGAAGCAGCAATGGGATATTGCTTAGGTCTGGGCAGAACCTTGGGTAACAGTGTTCATGGATGGGCAATACTTGGGAAATTGCTGACCAAATGTGACAACAAAGCAAATGCCAAAAGTGCACTTTCATATTGTTAAGTTTGGGAGAAGAAACTAATAACCATGGGGACCTGGGGTGATGGGACAACATGGTGGCAGGTGGAGAGAGCCCTGGTCATCTCAGGCACTCTGCTAGGTTGGTTCGTACCCACCCTCCTAGAGTGGCATCTTGGGTTCCCCTGGGGGTCATGTGGGCTATGAGTTTCTGCAGTGCTGAGTTGCTGCCTGGGGAGCTGTTGGGGAGAGAGATGCTGGCACAGATGACACAGCACAGAAGATGGTCCCTGTGCGACTCTCAGTGGAATCTGAAGTGCTGAAGGAATCAGATTAATAAGATTCATGAGTGGAGGAGAAATTGGGTCACATGCCACCCCAGGAAGTGGGAAATTGTTCATGTGTGGAGGAGTGGAGGGGAGACCCTGCAGTGGAAAGACACAGAGCAGTGTGGATTGTCCCTGTAGGGAGGTGGCTGTCATGCCTGAAGACCAAGGGCTATCCCTGGATAGGAGGAGCACAGTAGAATGGGACGTGTACACACTGCAGCTGTGATACTCTTGTTGAAGATGCAGCTCTGCTGTCTTCTTGCTGCCTGTCATGGGTTTAATCATGTCTATCAAATTCCCATGTTAAAGTTCTTACCCTTGGTGCCAGAGAAGATGACTGGCTTTGGAACTAGGCCACTTAAGTTAGAATAAAACAAGGTCACATGGGTGAACCCTCACCAATTGACTAGACTCCTGTTATGAAGGGATTCAGGTACAGTCACGGGCAGAGGGACAACTATGTGACTATGCTGCCATCTAGAAACCAAGAAGAGAGGCCTCAAAGAACTCAACACCACCAGCACCTTCATCCTGGGCTTCTAGAAAACAAGTGTGTCATCAAGCCACTTACCCCAGCACTGTGTTGTGGCAGTGCTAGCAAGCCAACATAGCATGCCAGTGGCCTTGAGCACACTATCTCCCCTCTCTGAGTCTTCATCCCTCCATCTGTGAAATGAATACTCCATCACTCATCTTGTGGGGGTAGGCAGACATTCTCTCCAAACAGCAAACACCAAACGGTTGCCCAGATTCACCATTTTCCCTGTGGTTACATCATTCATCTATCAGTTACACTGCTGATATCGTGATGTGCCTATAATATAGGAGATTATGTATTGGACAGGGCCCACAGCTCCAGGAAACACAGATCAACCTATCTCCATTTCTGTCCCCTCAGAATTCTCTACTGAAAACAAGTGGTTAGAGCAGCAGAATATATGGAAGTAGAGAGGAATAAGTACAGTAGAGAAAGTAAATCATAGGGCCATGCTGGGCTGTGAGGTAAGCATGCTAAAAAGTTAGAGGTAGCATAGCCGAGAACAAAGACAGAAAGCAGATGATGGTCCAGGCCAGTGGGCATCTGGGAGAATGTACTGCCAAGAAGGGAAAACGTGTGCCAAGCTCTGAGGCTTGGGTTGAGAAAGTGTCAATTTTCTTGAAACCCACAGATCCCCAACTTCCTGAACCTTGAGGGGCCTGGGCATATCTGAAGCTGTGTGAGATGAGAAGCATTCTTCCTTTATTATACCCACATGGTCATTATCAGGGATGGCACAGATCATATGCCTGTTAGACAGTTGGTCCAAGGAGACCGAGTCTGGGTAGCAGTAACTCAAAGTCAGAGGCCCTAGCTTCCTCGATGGGGACTGTAGCAATACCTACAGCTACTTGGTAAGCATGAGGGAGGAGAAGCAGAAACAGCTGGAGAGCCAGGTGAATGGGGCAGCTGGTAGTGGGCCTGGAGGGTCAATTGGAAAAGAAAGGGAGTCCATATCAGCTTGTGAGCTCATTGGAAGGATTCCATTATAATTGAGTTTTCTTGAGGAAATCAGTCTCTTACATGTGTTTTCAAAGAACCTGTCAATCACAGACAGAAGAAAGTCAAGCCATCCCTTTGACACGGCCAAGGTAAATGTCTAATGAATGGAGAGAGTACACTATTAGGTATGAATGACCACAGCAACCTGACTAAAGTACTATCAGGTAGGTCTAATTATATTTTTCCTTATGTGTCTTTGATCTAAAAAAAAGGTGCCTCTACTTCCTGGATTATAGCTGTGTACTACCATGCCTAGTTTTGTGCAGTAGTGGGCATTGAACCCTGGATTTCAGGCATGCTGGCACTCTGTCATGTGAGCCATATTCCAGCCCTCTGGTCTTTTAAGATCTTAACTTGTAAGTGCTTATGTTATTATATGATTTCCTGTAAACATCATGGTATCACATTCCATGAGTGTGAATTTATTACACTGTTGTTTCATCATCACCCTGGGACGGTTGTTGTCCCTGTTGTAAAGAAGACCTTACCAAGCATCTTTCCTCACGCCTCTTTTCTGCTGCTTTTTCATTTCCTCCTCCAACATTCTTGGTCCTTTCCCCCTAGAATCAATTTCCAGATGTAGAATAGAATTACTTTAGTAAAGGGTACAATTTCTTCAAGGCTGTCAGGATCAATGTGAATCATCTTTATTTTCTTCTCTATTGGATCGCTTACTCTAGTCAGCTTTGTTTCCCCCGTGAATTGGAAAAGCATTTTCTCTGAGTCGTTACGCAGGATGCCCCCATGTAGAACAGGAAAAGTTTGAGGGTACAGGTTACTTTTGTCTGAATGTCCTTTAAGTTCCAAAGTCCTGTTTCTGTAAGTGACAGCCTTCTCTTACCCCATGTAGATTTTTAAATTTTGTTCAACTATTTTTCTTAAAGAGGGGTGCCCACGAATGACCATAATGTCTAAAGTGTGCCTCTTGTTTTCCTGATAGTGAGAATTGCTAAGCTTGATGTATTTAGAGGGGGGATTTAAAAAGCATTTAGCACTGGTATCAGATTTGTTTAGTTTTAATTGTTTTATGTGAGTTGAATTGGTATGAGTAGATTTATGGCATTCTCTGCAAAAATCATTTTTTAAGAAACAGGGTACATTTCACAAAATAATCTTGAAATGGCTGGACACCCTTATCTTTTTTAATGGTTTTAAATGCCTATTAGCTGTAATGGGGTTTCCACAAATAAATTGCTACATTTAGTTGAAAGATATCAGAACCCCAGCTGACATGCCCCAAGCCTGGGGGGGATCTTGAGTCACACTCTCTTACAAGCATGCCATTTGTCTCTTCTCAACGAAGCCCAATTTCCAGGCTCCATAAAAGAGCAGGAGCGTATTGACTGGACAGCGATGCCATTCTGACTCCTGAAGGCTGACAATAGGCTTCCATCGCTGCATTAGGCTGACTGGGGAAAACAATTCTTTAAAAGCTCCCGATAAATGACATAAATAAAGCAGTGAGGAGCCAGGGGCCTGCTCAGACTCAGCCACATTATATGTCCCTGTGACATATTGTTGTTTGAGGACAATGACAAACATTCAGACCATCCATGGAAGCCACTGGGGGAACTTTTGTTTCTCTCTAATAGCTCCTGAAGCCTTTATGGCTAATAGTGTGTATAATGAGTCCAGTTTCCTAGCCCCTGAGAGGAATGATTGGGCTTTTGTGTGGGGAGAGAAAGCCTCTGAGGTGTGCCCAGCAGTGATGGAATTAGGTCCATGGTAAGGAAGGCACCCCACACCCAGAGTAAATGGGGAAGTGGGGCATGAAGGTAGGGTTACTAGCCAAGGTGATAAGCTGGGTCTCACAACTGAGACCAAATCAGACTAAGGAATGAGGTTGCATTGGAGTTTCACAGACAGAGGGAAAGGGGCAAATCCAGAGCCCAAATTCTTATCCAGGCCCCAATGGGGATGCATCCTGGCTTCAAAGATACCTGTCATACTGTAATGGGAGCTTCAGTCACCCTCTTATCTTGGGCTTGGAGCTCTCCATGCAGCAGCAGACCTGGGCTGGGAATCCTTTTTAATCTGCTCCTTAACTGTTCTTCCTGTAGCCACACTGAGTAGGAAGGTGGCATCTGCTTCCATTTCCTCTGAAGTTGATGTTGGGATGCCAAGGTCCTAGTGCCAGAAACCCATGCCTACCTGTGAAGCACTGGCATGCCACTGCTCTTGAGTCTTACTCTCTTCATGAAGCAAGGGGCTACACAAGTAGCTTTCAGCCCTCGCTCAACAATGTAATCACTAAGAAAATCAAGAAAATGATCAGGTGTAGTTCTCTACTGACCTGATAAACTCAAAATAGCTGTGGGTAGAGCTCAGTTATCTGTTGGTTGTCTCTTTGATGAATAAACATTTGACTGGACTCATCCCTCTTAGTTTCCTCTCTCTATCTCTGTGTCTCTAATCTATCTATATGTTTGGGCTTAAGGAGGAGGCTTGATAAAGGAAATAGCAATTGCAGAACAAGTCATCAGCCTGAGACTGGGTCTCCAGGCCTGGGGAAAGTTGGAAGCCATCTTTTAAGTTAGTTATATATACTTAGACCCTCTACACCAAGACTGCAGGACAGAAAGAAAGCTGACCATGGATGAGAAAGGAATTAAGATCATCTAAGCCAACACAAAGGTGGGCATCAAGTATCACCTTGCCATGGAAAGTAGAGAGAACTTTGTCTTAGGAGTCTCAAATCAAGGTGATCACTGTATCATGATCATTCTGGGAGCAAGGTCAAGATACAGCTCAAGAAAAAAGAAGAACCTACCAAGGTGACTGGCTCTGGGAAAAGGCTCCTTGGGGGCTCGAGGGCAGTCTCCTGGTGGGTCGTCCTTGGGATAGTGGGTGGCAGGATCTTATGACATGGATAATAGAAATGAAGCCAATAAGACAAGTATGGCTGCTTTGCTGGGACTTTAACTTGGGAGTAGAAGGGAGCCATGATCAAAAAGGTGATCCGGCTGCTTTTCTGAAAAAGAAACCAGGTTTTTGTTAATTGTGTGGTGTGGAGTAAAGTTTGATAATTACCCATTAGTCATAGGAAATAAATGAGGGGCATGTATGGAACCTCCTTGGGCTGATTAATCTTGACTGTCAACGTGACTAAATTTGGAATCACCTGGGAGACACGCCTCTAGAAATTTCTGGGAAGAGGCTGCCAGACAGGCTTAACTGAGGAGAGAAAGTGAACATCAGCGTATCTTGGGCTTTAGGCCCAGAATGGATATAAAGGGGGAAAGTAAGTGAACTGTTGACATTTATGTCTCTGCTTTTTGACTACAGGGGCAGTGTGACCAGACACCACCTCATCTTCCTGACACCAAGTCATAGCCCCCATCATGGGCTGTACCCTCAAACTGTGAACCAAAATAAAATCTTCGTTGCATTTATTTTTCACAGCAACGGGAAAAGTAACATATTTTTTAATGTGCAAATATCCTGGCTTTGTATTGGGGACATTAACAGATGACAACTTAACTCAGGAGTTATTGAGTCTTTCTGTTGTTAAGTCAAAAACTTCTGATGTCTCTTGTGGACGACACTAATACCTTGTGTTACTATTACAAATGTGTGTTACAGGAATGGGGTTACCAACTTCTAGGGATGTGCTGGGTCATTCAGGCAGTGTCTTCTCAGAGCTGGGATGGAGCTCTACTTATGGACAAACCTGGCCTGGACCTTATGACAAGGTTGAGGGACTATAGGTACTTGAATTGCTAAGAAAGCACAAGGCTGGGGTAAAAGAAACATGCTTGAACAGCCAAGAGACCAATTTATCCCACATAATGGCCTTGAACCAAATATTTCCCTAATGATGAAGATGTCTCCTAGTCTGATTCAAAGCTTGAAGCAGGAAGAGGGGTAGGCACAGTGTGCAGACAGAGATGCCAGGCTTCTCTCTCTCTTTAAGTCACCCTTCTGATGTCTGTAGGCTGTGGTGAAGACTCAGTCTCTTAGCAAAAGTGGCTACTATGTTTTTGTAGAGTAACCTAGGCAACTGAGATAACTGACACATTAGAATCATTATCTCTAGAAAGTTAATAATGTACTTCTCAGTTGTGTGATCACCCAGGATAGTGAGCTCTGGGTCAACTCAGAGCAAATACCACACCCTTGCTCTGACAGATTGATATCCTAACTAAATGGGGGATTCAGGGCATTTTGTGGGGGTGAGGTTTTAAAAAATTTTTTCTCAGTAACACTTCCCCCTTGCTTCTGTCATTTGTAGTTATCTCAAATCCTACAAACTCTACTAAGCATTGGTATGGTCTAGTGGTGAAGTGTTTCCTAGTCTATAAACACTCCTGCTTTATGGGCTAATCTGGTGTTTTATGGCAAAGGTTTCAGAAGCAGTCTTTTTAGTAAGCAGCAGGTTACAGTCCCAGACGTTCTTTGATTTTCATTCCCTCACAGTGGGGACACCATCTCACTTGGACTGGTATTGTCAGCCTCATCTGGCAAGCCTTAGAAGTGAGAAGCTCAGGGTGGAGTTGGCAGTCTGGGCTGTGAGCAACTCTCAGCTGACAGTGATGCAAGTGTCAGAATGATCAGAATTGGGACGTGAGTTTAAATAAGGCAGCAAAGGAAAAAGGACCTGAGGCCAAGCCCATGTAGTAGGGATGGACTTCAGGAGTTTGTGATGCCAAGGCTCCTTGCATCTGATTAGTTCTGAGAGGATCAAGAGGAGAGTTACAGACAATGGTCTTAAGTGGGCTTCTAGGAGTATGACTGCAGGGATGATGTTGGTGTGTAAACAGGAGTAAGACTGTACCTCTAAGGCTTGAGGGTCTCTGGGGTCTACAAATGATGATGGTTTGAAGTATCCATGGTTACCAGAGACAGGTATGGAGATACCAACATGCAGGGGTGTTGCAGTTGTTCAGGGGCTGTCTCCTCAGAGCAGACTGGAGCTGTGCTCACAGGAGCAGTAGAAGAAGAGGAGGACAGAGCTTAACATTCTCCGAGTCTGTGTCCAATGTGCTCAGACACACACCCTGCCCCATAGCTGACATCTTCTCACAGTCAATAAACACGATGTGCAGCCAACTGTGGAGTTCTCCAACACAATTTTCAAATATCTCTTTTATTGTCTGTATAAAATCAAGCAGTGACTCCCTGTTTAGGGAGGGCAGCAATAGAAAACTCACAGTGCTCTGGTAAAAACACAGGAGGAGTAAGAAGATACAAGCCGTGTACTCCAGGACCTCCATTCCTATGGATTCTACTAATCAGAAATGCCCCTAACTGCACAGACTCTAAACACAGGTACTCCCTCATATTTCCAAATGCTACATGGAAGAATCTCTAAGTGCTTGTGTCCTGATGTGATGGGTGTGGTTGGAGGAGTAGTGTTTGAGAAGCAGTTGATGGCACTGTGGAGACAGAATGTGAGCTGAACACCCCTCCCCTGACACACACACACACACACACACACACACACACACACACACACACACACACACACACACGAACAAGAAGGAGCAAATGCCTGGCTCCTTATTCTCACTGAATTCATTCAACAAGCCCAATATCTGTCTCTGAGTAGGAAAAGTGCACCCTCTTCTTTGAATTTGGAAGGTGGAAGGGTGGTGTTTTGGTTCAAGTCAGGGTGTTTGAGGAAAATCAGACAATTTTATAGATCTTACTGGTTTGTGCATTGTCACTTTTCCAGACTTGCTTTGGCATTCTGCACAGAGTTTAGCTTTCTCATGTATTTTTGGTGGAAATTAGACATTTCAAAACAGTTTCCATCATGTAATTAGATTCTTTGCATCTGGTGTGTCCATTGGCTTGCACTGAAGAGACTCCAGAATCTCAAATAAGATGCCTGAAATTACTTTTTAAGTCTTTACATTGAAAACCTTCAGGTATATAAAAAATTGATAGACTAATACTATGAAAAGCCCATGTAAGCATAACTCAGCTTGCAATGGTTTGAATGAGATGTCCCTTATATGTCTTATACATTTGAGTACTTGGTCCTCAGTTGGTGGCTTTTTGGGGGGGAGTTGGGAGGTGTGGCCTTTATGGAGGAACATGTTATTGGTGGTGGGCTTTTAGTTTTCAAAGAGCCCATGTCATTCCCAGTGTCTATTCTGCTGCCTTTTTGCAGTTATAGATGTGAGGTCTCAGCTGTTTCTACCACCAAACCTTCTGGGCACTGTTGAACAATAACCCTCTGGAACCATAAGACCCATATAAACTCTCCTTGCATAAGTTGCTTTGGTCATGGTGCTTTATCATAGCATTAGAAAAGTATGCAAAAAGTTTCAGTAGATGTGTCCATCTCTCCCTGTGCTCATATCTCTACCCCCTTCACCCTCACTTGTTTATTTGGAAGCAAATCATAGATACACATGGAGTGTGTCTATGTATACTTCAGGTTGTATAAAACTATGAAAACTCTTAAAACCATGTAACCACAATAGCGCTATCACATGTAAAGAGTGACTGTCTAGTACCATCTACTAGACAGTCTAGTACCAGCTGTCTAGTACCAGCTACTTTCAGATAATTGGCTGAATCATATTTTTTTTGTTTCATTATTGGCATGTTTGAATCAGGATCCAAAGAAGTTCTATACTTTCTGATTGGTCAATACGTTTCTGAGAAATTGATTTTATTTTATTATTTATTTATTTATTTTGGTTTTATGAGACAGGGTTTCTCTGTATTGTGTTGGAGGCTGTCGGTCCAGCCCTGCCTCGAACTCACAGAGATCCACCTGCCTCTGCCTCCTGAGTGCTGGGATTAAAGGCATGCGCCACCACCGCCCGGCTCTGAGAAAGTGATTTTAAACCATTCCTTGCATGTAGCAAACTTTGTCCTGTTTGAACTCTAAAAGTCCCACATAAAAGTCAAGAGCTTGAGACCAATCATGTCATCTCTCCATAGCCCAGCAATTGGCCCAGCAAGTACATCATCTGCCAGACTCTGGCAACAAAGACCAGAGGAGCAGGTGGCAGAAAACAACATAGACACAGGTTGCCAGGACCCCAGCTTGGGTCTAAACTGTGTTCAGCCTATAATTTGGTCATGTTTTCCATACAAGTGAGCAAATACCAATGTGGTGTTTACTTGATGAAAGGCTGATGAGCCACTTGGGAAAAGACTGAGACCAGGAGATCAAAGTTCTCTAAGAACTGGTCAGAAGGTAGGGATGTCTACTACCTGGTCAACACTACTGGACTTGATGATGTGCCTGTTGGAAGAATGCAGAATGTCCCACTCCCACTCTGAAAGTGTGGGGTACAAGGCTCTAGATCTAAAGATTGGTGAAGGCAGTGCCTCTGATTCAGATTTTGGTTGAGGGCTTGCGTCCAGCCAATGTGTTCAAATGTGCCTGAAAGGGGAAGTGAGAAAAGAAAGAGACAAGAGACAGAAGATAGGGTTGGGAGGGTGCTCAGTGAATACTACAGATACTCCAAGTTTATTACTCATTGCCCTTGTATACCCTGAGCAAAAGGGGAGGGAAAAAGACTTCCTTACCATGATACAAGGAGTTAACAAATATAATTACCTCCCTAATACACAAAACATCTAGTAACTATGCCCTAAGTCAAATATCCTATAATTTGGTCTTGAGAGTCAAGACATCCAGTAGCCATACCTTAGGCCAAACATTCTGTTGTTTAACCTTAAGGAGCAAGAATAGGTTTGAACTCTCTGATCTTAGGTCAAGATGGAATGTAGTCAATAACACTGGGCCCGACAGGCTTGACAATGTCTTCCTAAGTCTTGAAAGATTCATGCTACCAAGCCAGTGTGGCTGATGAGTCTGGCTGAGGTTCATGGCCTGTGCATTAGATACCTTTCTCATTCTTCTCACTAAATACCTGATGAAAGCAACTTAACTGGTGATAAGGGGCT